TCTCCTCCATTCTCCTCCCGGGATCTTGGGTACGCATGCACACGTGCCCGGCGTGAGTCCAAGCCGCCAGGTCCGGGCCTCGAACCGCAGTTGATGACATGGGAGTCCAGCAACATAGCCGTTACACTAACTGCTGGTCTCTATTTTAAAATTTTTAAAAAGAATTATGTAACTTTTATTTATTTAATTTGGTAAGAGAGAGATTTTTGTTATAGGGCATGTGTGCTCACCAGAGAGACAGAAAGTGAGAAATCACCCCTCTCCTAAAGATGGCCATCGGCAATTCGTTCTCCATTCATCTCTTGGGATTTTGAGCACACGTGTACAGGGTGCCCTGGCATGGGTTTTATGCCACCAGGTCCAGAACTCAAACTGCAGTTGACTACATGGGAGTCCAGTGACATAACCATTATGCCACCTGCTGGTCCCTATCGTTTTTGAGAGAGAAAGAGAGAGAGAGAGAGATTGAGAAAACAAGCTGCCAGGTCCAGGACTCAAATCACAGTCAGCCATGTGAGAGAGTCCAACGCCTAAATCACTATGCCACCTGCTGGCCCCATCATGATAAATGTAAAAGGTCATATACGGCTTTCAAATACAATCTGAACACATAGGTTATTTCACAGAGTAAATGAGGAATAGTGAAGGTGCCACACTCCAAAGTTTGTTTAAACGGTGTTTAAAAGTTGTAAGACCAGGGGCTGGAAGGTGGCATGGTGGTTAAGGGCGCTGAACTCTCACATGGCCAACTGTGGTTAGAGTCCCAGACCTGGTGTCTTGCTTTCTCTCTCTCTCTCTCTCTCTGTCCTTCTCTGGTCAAATTAAAATAAATTAATAAAGTTAAATAAAATAATTCTAAAAAAAAAAAAGGTTTAAGACTCGGTACTTCCATACTCTATAGGCATCCTAGTGCTACTGTCCCCTCTCAAAACAGATGAAAAACAATAGCCTAAGTAAATATGTAATATTATAAATTCTATAAGCACGGAAAAAGCATTCTCTTATAGCTCTTGTAATGTCTAAGACATGTGAGCAAAATAAACACGAGTCCATTCATTTTGCTAATAGGATAGAAAAAGTAAAGGTAATGTGTATAACAGAGAACTTGATTAAGTACTTAATTAACTTACCAGAGTAAAAACCTGATATTAAAAAGTACTGATTTAAACCGGTTTTAGATGAGGTCTCCTGGGTCACATCCAATAACCTACCAGATTAAGAATCCTGTCTGCCTTTGACACAAAGGCGCAGGTTATGGAATAGGCTAATGACAATTTATTACAATAGCTGTCAAAACTCAGTCATTTGCCTCAAGGATTCCTAACCTTCTTCGATAGGTCATCATGGACCTAACGCTAATATACTTAAAAGCTACACCAGTCCATGAAAACAGAGATCCAAGTTGTACATCCATTCACTTGCCAGAAATGATCTTTCAAGCTACAGCCCTAACATTTCGGAATTTGGTGAGGAACTAAACAACCTTCAGGATTTTAGAAACACTAGTTTTCCATTTTAATTTGTGCCTTCCCGCAGTAACATCGTTACAGTTTTGTCTCCATCTGTCTACACGAAATCAACAATCTGGCTGTCTGATCAGTACAAGCCTTCAGGTAGTGTCCACTTCTGTATCACAGCTCACTGAACAAACTCCCAAGTGCACGAGGATATTAAGACATAAGGAGTAGCTAAATAGAGAGTAAGATACAAGATAGATAAGAGCTTGCCAAAAACAATTAAACTTCAACACCTACCAACAATCAGCCTAAATTATCAGCTGGTAATGAAGAGCTGGTGCAGCAGAGCTAAGTCTATTTACTAGAGCAGCCCAAGGGAACCTAGATAAAACTTTTTTTTAAAAAGAGGTTTTTGCCTTAGGCCCTGGGCTCTCACTGAGGCAAGGGGAAGAGAGGGAGGGAGGGAGGGAGGGAGAGGGAGACAGACAGACAGAGGAAGTGAGAAATCACTGGGGGAGGGAATGGTGCACTCTAGGTGGGGAATGTTTACTCTTCCACTTACAGATCTCAGGGCATTAAAAGCAAGGAGGAGCAGCTCTTTAACAATAAGCTTAATGTCTATCACCTATTCCCAGGAAGAACCTGTGTAACATTTTTAAAAAGTACTTCCTCACTGGCTGGCAGGTGACGTGGTGGTTGGGGGTGCTGGGGAGTAGCTAAATAGAGAGTAAGATACAAGATAGATAAGAGCTTGCCAAAAACAATTAAACTTCAACACCTACCAACAATCAGCCTAAATTATCAGCTGGTAATGAAGAGCTGGTGCAGCAGAGCTAAGTCTATTTACTAGAGCAGCCCAAGGGAACCTAGATAAAACTTTTTTTTAAAAAGAGGTTTTTGCCTTAGGCCCTGGGCTCTCACTGAGGCAAGGGGAAGAGAGGGAGGGAGGGAGGGAGGGAGAGGGAGACAGACAGACAGAGGAAGTGAGAAATCACTGGGGGAGGGAATGGTGCACTCTAGGTGGGGAATGTTTACTCTTCCACTTACAGATCTCAGGGCATTAAAAGCAAGGAGGAGCAGCTCTTTAACAATAAGCTTAATGTCTATCACCTATTCCCAGGAAGAACCTGTGTAACATTTTTAAAAAGTACTTCCTCACTGGCTGGCAGGTGACGTGGTGGTTGGGGGGGCTGGACTTCCACATGGTTGACCCTGGTTTGAGTCCCGGATCTGGTGGCTTGCTTTCTCGCTTCCTCTCTCTGTCCTTCTCTGGTCAAATTAAAATAAATAAATAAATGGATAAAGTTAAATAAAATAATTCTTTTTTTAAAAAAGTACTTCCTCACAATGACTTCATTTTTTTAAAAAGACCAATTAGATAATATAGTTTAAATGCTGGTACTGTTTCTAAACAGCTTAACAGTAGGTTAAACTGAGAAAGCGACTGGAACATAGGCCCTGTTCCTTTCCCTTTTGAAATGACATCCTGCTCTAACACAGGCTCTGGAGTATGAGACACCCAAGTCTGAAGTAGCTTACCACGCCTTACTTAACTCAGTAAACCATGATGTCCTCATCCATAAAATAAATGTAACAATATTCCTGCCAGAGGGGGCTACTGTGAGGCTGCTCCCTGTGAAGTGCTCTTTACAACTCTGCTCCCGGATGGGAGTTCTAGTGCCCATCATCAGATTCCAATAGTCTGTCCATACACTAATAATCCCCAGGGCAACACACCTACCACTGCTTCCTCATTGGTTAGGGTGGGTGCCCTCCCCAGTTGTCTTCCCTGCTTATCTGCTTAACTTCCTTATCACCGCTCACAAAAGCTTCACCATCCTACTAACCCAGATGAAGAGTAATTTTACTAACTAGCATGACTTTGGTCTTAGCACTATGAAAAGCACAACCGGAGCTCAACGTAACCTTCTGCACTGGCCTAACAGTACCATACTTCCACAGTTTCCAAAGACTCACAGGCAATCGCTTAGAATTAACTGGTATTTTAAATAAAAATTTGACCATTTAAAGACACTGTTTCCTTGTATTTCTAAAGGTCTGTTACTTCACTCCACTCCCTGAGCTTGAACAGCCTAGAATCCATCTACTATTTATTCTTCAAAACCAAACAATGATGTCCGTGTAAAATAAAGAACTGTACGGTGAATGAAGCCAAGTCTCTGTCTCCTAATTATCTTATTATCTAACAAAGTGTTTCTCATTTGGGGACCCAAGAACATTTCTTTTTAAAAAGGCCTGTAATTCAAAGTGTAAGACACACTGTGTAAGTGGAAAAGAAATCATCGATATCCCAATGTCACCCAAGGCTTTGAGCAGGCACTGCATCCCAGGTCAGAAGCGCATAACACCAGAAAGGCTCTATGGCCACACAATATTTTGCATAATTTTCCTTTGATGCTAAAGCATCCTGGATGAAGTTTCATCCTTTGTAGGGGGAGAAGGGACATGACAAGGAAAGGATTCTTTTCAGAATAGGCCTATGTGTGGGAGGCAGGAGCTGAATGGGGACCAGTGAGGACTCAAAGGGGGATGTACAAGAGCAGGGAATGTTCAAGGAGTGATCTGGGGACTGTGGACAGAGAGGTCTATCTAGGGCAAAGAAATGTTTAAGAAATTAAGTTGTGGGATTAGCAGGTGGCATGGTGGTTAAGGCACTGGACTCCCACATGGCCGACCACGATCTGAGTTCTGGACCTGGTGGCTCGCTTGTATGTGCTCGCTCACCTTCTCTGGTGAGCACAAGAGACCTACAGCAAATTAAAATAATAATAATAAATAAAATTTTTAAAAAAGAAATTAAGTTGTCAGCCAGGAGATGGTGTGGTGGTTTAAGTCGCTGTACTCCCACATGGGCAACAGCTCTTTAAGTCCCAGACCTGGCAGTTTGCTTTCTCTCCCTCTCTCTGGTGAGCACACGTGCCCTATATCAAGTTTAAAAAGTAATAAATAAAATTAAATAATTATTTTAAAAAGAATAAGAAAGTAAGTTGCAAGGAAGAAATGATTTGGGACCAGCCTTTGGTTGCAATACCAAGTGAAGGAGGCTGAATCTTACTCTACTGCTGAGGCTTTCTGGTTCTTGTTTTTGCTTAAAATAAAGTGATGCAATATAAAATGATTATATAAAGATTTATCCCAGTGCAAGGTCCAGATGGATTAGAGGGTGGAGAGACTGACAGGAACAATATAGGTTATTAAGGAAGTCCCTGGTGAGACAAGGGCCTGAATTAAGATGGGTTGTTTATAAACACTTCTTTCTCTGGGGACAGGTCCAAAAAGAAATTCCTAAGCCACCTTTTACTGAAAGAGAACTCGCTGTTTCAAAATCATGGGACACCTGAATCACGCTTAACCAAAATTTGTAACCCCAGGCTACCCACCCCCACTACCAAAACAAACAGACCGACTTCCTTGGCCTAAGGATTATCTGGCTTCTCAAGTCGAAACCGTTCAGTAAATACAAAGAGCTCTCAGTAAAAACTTCTCGCCCCGGGAGTCAGCAGCGACCCTGCACATCTGCACCTCCGGTTCGCACGGCTCGGTACAGTCCCCGGATCCGCGGGGGCCGGGACAAAGCGGAGCCCGACTCTCCGGAGAGTATCCTGTTTCGAGCCGGAAAGAATCTGCACTGACAGCCTCCCCAGCAGGCTGCTCCAGGGGGCCTCAACCCAGCCTCGGGACGGAGCCCCTGGCGCCGAGCCAGCAGGCCCGGGCGTCGGGCCCGAGCGCAGAGGCCGCCGGGTAGAGGATGCGGGAAGCCCCGAGGGCTTCCCCTCACCGCCCTCCTCGCCCCGGGCCTTGGTCCTTCTTCCCATCCTGGACCAGGCGGAGCGGCCTCCGCGGCCGGCGCCTCAGCTGCAAGGGCCCCGGAGCGCCCGACCCGGCCCCGGGCCCCGCCGGACTTCGCGGGCGCTTCAGCCGAGGCCTGGCCCAGGCGG